CGGACGCGGCGCCCGCCCCAGGCAGGGCAGGGGCGCCGGCGAGGATGCAGGCACCGAGCGCTGCCCCTCGGCCACCCCCGGTGCAGGGAGGCGGCCCGCCCCGCCTCGCCTCGCCTCGTTCTAGGGCCCCGCTGTCTTCACGCGCCAAGGAGCATCACCCCAAGTTAGAGGCCTTGATCCAAAGCCTGCCAAGCCTGGAAAGGCCCCCGTGCCCTCAGCGGCCTTTGCAGGAAGGAAGGTCGGGGCCAGAACCTGTGGCCACACGAGAGCCAGCACTCATCAAGTGCTTGCCACCGTAGTGCCACCACCACCATCCTTACTAGTAGCATTACTCTTACTACTATTATTATTATTATTGACAAAGATAGCAAGAAATAAGTGATGAATAATGAAGTAACTGCTTGTATGACCACAGGGTCCTGGTCCAAGATGAGGGCTGTCTCTCAGGGGTGGGCAATTATTTAGGTCCATCAGGAGGCCAGTCAGCACCCTCTGCCCCCTGGCCTCACAACTGATACAGAGTCTGCACACCCTGCATCTCCTCCCAGAGCACGGCCCCAGCCCGCCTAGCACCCACTGTGGACTTGCTCCAGCCGGAGCTGGAACCCACTTGCAAGGCCCTGACAGTCCTTGGCCTAAAGAACTTGGATCTAAGCATAAGGTGTGGTTGGGAGGGGTGCGGGGGATGGACAGACAGCCAGGGAGCACAAGGAAACAAGAGAGACAATGGTGGTTAGATGACAGAAGACACACCACAACACAGTGCTATGCCTAACCCATGAGGGTTTAATTTACACTATTTGCTAATAGGATGCCATAAACAAATGGCAGCTGGGCATTAAGGTCCTTGTATTACCATTTTTTTTCCTGAAAGCTTCACCAAAGAATTGTCAGTCTAGGGGCCACTGTGATCCTCCTGTATTTGTGCAGAGTAGGTGGAAATTAAAATTTTTAAAAGGGAACCTCTGTTTCCAGGGGTATTAATTGCACCTGAAAGCTGTCTGCATGTTGCATCTGCAGCTGAATTATAAGCACAAATCTGAACATTCCATTTGATTGTGGGTGCAAATTAGATACAGTTGTATGTGCTGAAATTTTCATCCACAATTCATGCAGTAGCTTACCAATTAAATTGGAAGCATTACCAGGTTATTGTCTTACGTGGTATAAGCTAATTACAATTTAAACCCTAATTTTTGGGCTAAATTTTTATTTTGAGGGTGAAAGGATTTAGGACTAGGTAACGTAAGATATTCAGCTATAATGTTCTATTAAAATACCTTTGGTTTACTGTTTCAGAACCAGATTGAAAATAAATGTCCCTATATCAGAGGCTGGCAACCTACAGCCGGTGGGCCAGATCTGGTCAATGAAGACTCTGGGTTCTGGTTAGGGCGGCTCAGGGCAGCAGACTCCAGCTACAGCAATGGAGGAAGCATTCCCAAGGTCCTAGAGCCTGCATTTTTCTATCTAGTCTTTTCATGCTTCTGCAGATTGCTGGTGAGGCCCTCAGCAGGGGCTGAATCACAAGCAGCAGCCAGCGACAAAAGGTTGGCTATATAATCAGTGATTGAGATGGTTTATGGCCTCAGTTGCCCAATATGCTTTACTGTTCAGAAAAAAATACATTGCTTTCATTTATGTAGATTCATTTAGACAATCACATGGATTTGTGCGCATGGCAAAAAAATGCAACTCACTGGTAGGCCTAAGATTAATCAGGATCTTCTTCCTCCTTAAAAGATCCTTCCTTTTGTCATGTAAAAAAAAAGTGACTACTATTATTTTAAGTAACATGTATGATTATTCTGAAAACAAATTAAAGAAATATCTGTTTTTTTCTTCCAGTTTGTTAGCTATGTCCACTGAAAAATATTTGAGGTAGTTTCAGGTCTCCTTGTACCAGTCATTTTTTCTCTGTTGTTTGGGAAAGCACATACCTGTTTTTTTTAATTTGTTCATTTTTCTTGTTTTAAATAAGAACATTTTAATTGTGAAACCACAAAAATTGGCCCTGGAAATTAAGAACAGGTTTAGTTCTGAAACTGCTTTTAACCTTTTCTTTGAAACAGACTAGACATCAAACTGGTAATCTTTCTTTATTTATACTATATTCACCTCACTCTCAGTACCACACAGAATACCAAACTAGTGTATGTTATAATTATTTTGTATATGTGCTGTATACCAAATCAGAGGAAGACGCTCTGCTTTTACCATTTTGCCACTTGAGCCTGATATGTAATTTATACCTCTATTTACAGGACTGCTGAATTTCAACCTATTGCAGCAATTGTCTGAGTTTGTTGGTTTGCTAACCACCGTCTTAAAAAGGTTATGTTTGAAATATCATGTGCAGTTTTCTTCTTTTCCTGCACACTTATTTGAAGCCCTAATAAACTTATGTATTTCTAGATTCTATAGCAAAGTAAATATCTTAGGAAGATAAATTAAATTATAATTAGGATTGTCTGGGAAACAAGAATTGGGTTTCACAGAATTCAGGGTTTTGAGACTTGTTTTTGTTCTGATGAGGAGCAAATCAGAATAGAGACTTTTCAATTTTTTATTTTTATTTTTTTGCAGAGGGAGGAGAGAGGATGTAAAAGACTAAGGTTCAGGCTTCTGGTCTGAATCAGACAAGGTGCCCTAATCACTGAATTTATTCCAGTAATTCTCTCTCTCTCGCTGAGTAGAAATTCCATTCTGGACCTCAAAAACTTTCCCAAAAGTTTAATCAAAACAGATAAATTTCTGCAAAAAGTTTCAGTTTTAACAATCTAACATTTTACAATGGAAAATGTTAATCAAAAAGCTGGCTCTCATAATAGCATTTGAACATATTAAAATTTCAGACAGTCCATTATAAAGAAACATAGTGAAGCAACCATTATTATTATTAATGTCTTCTGGGTTATTCAAATTACAAGAAGCAATTAAATATAACATCTCGATATACTTGGCTTTTTAACTTGTCTAACTTTTCTAACTTAAATTGGCAGTTTCTGCTAATTCTTATCTGGATTATTGTTGAATACAAGGCAGATTTCATTCAGTTCACCTTTATACAAAATTTAAATCAAGAAAAATACAGCATATATATATATATATATATAGAGAGAGAGTAACTCTTGAGAAAAGAAAAACAAGAAAAAGGACATATCTGAGAAGGAGAGACTCAGGAGACAGAAGAGGTGGGGACGTCTTGGCTGAAGGTGGATAGGACTTCATCTGGGCATCAGCTTTGGGAAATCTCTATAGCTACAGTGGTTCCATTGCTCTCCCAAGAAGGCCTCTGGACATCTGCAATACCAGACAAACTGTATAGAGATTCTCCTGCTGGGAGGAGGTTTAAACTGGAGCCACCCTGCAACTTTGCTGCTGAACAGTGAGATGTCCCTCCTTAGTCCATTAATCAGACTTTAAGCCATTGGACCCAAATGATACCAAGCTCCCTGCAAAGGCAGGATGGAATTCTTTGGCTCTAAGCCTGGGCCCACCAGAAGACCACACAGATGTAAGCCAGATGAGAGAATGATCACCAGCACAGCCATAGTGCACAACACACTGCTAAATAAAATATGCCAGCTTGATCAGCATTGTTATCCACTTATGGCTTAAAGAGGCTAAGGAAGTACATTTTTAAGTAAATAATCTATTTGAGTAGAGGGTAGCTGTGACATAACTTAAAATTTTCCTGCCTGCTGGCTTGATCCAGCTGTCAGCATTACAATGAATACAAGCCAAAATTAAAAATAATGTATTTGTCAATGATGCTTTTGTTCCAATGTGTTCCTGTAATATTTATTGTAAGACATTTCCTAATTAGATACAAATCTGTTTTTCTTCTGTTTTAAAATAATTCTGTAACATGAATTAAATATAAAGCATAATTATATAACCCTTTTATCATGTGCATTTTAGAATAATTCCCTGAATTTTACCAGCTCATATTAACAGAAGAGCCATGTCATGAACCTGTAAGTATGAAGACCATTACATGAAAGTACTACACACAGAACCTGTGAACTAGAGCCCACAATGCTTTATCTAGCTCTCATAATGTCACATCACTGTAAAATCTGTTATATTCAGTAAGGTACAGTATCACTGGACGTTCATGTGGCTTTTGCTCTGAAGTAATATTTGCAAGCCTAATATAGTTTTCAAATATTGTATCTGGATATGTATATGAATTAATGGAAGTAACATTATTGTTACTAGTACTGGCTCTAAATATGCAAGTGATTCCCTCTGAGTTGACTGCCTGCACACATGTGTATGTATGTTGGTATACACACCTGAGACTGCAGTCTGAGAGTCTACCAGCTGGGCCCTGCCAGCAGTAAATCCATGCAAGATCATAAAAAAAAAAAATCACCATCCTTTCTGCAAGACAGGAACTATCAAACCAACCATTATATCTTCTGAGGCATGTCCTGAAGTCATTTGACATGCAGAGTTTTCCTTGACCTCAGTACACATTTTGTACATGGCAGAATATAAGTATATCACTCTGTCTAGTTAAAACTACAGGAGAAAATCCTTGTTAAGGCAAAGAGCAGTGCTTCATGATCATGCAGAGAATAGCTACCCTCACACCTCTTTCCCACTGAGTCACCTCCAGAAAACGTTTACATTCTACCAAAATGAGACAGGCTCATGTCTCCTAAAAACAGGAATCTATTGAAACCTGCCTAATTCCATATTTTTTTACAAAACATTTTTACTTTCCATACCATGGACAGAGACTAAAAACTTTTCGCATTTCCCTTTCATTTAGAACAACTGACTCCTACTTAGAACAACTTACTTCCTAAAATGTTTTGATTCTTTTCCACAGCTCATTCTTACAGTCAATTCACATTTCTGCAGCTTGTGTTACAGCTTGGCTATAACTTTAAATAATTGTAAACAACAGATCTTGATAAAGAGCCATTGTGCTCTTCATTGAAATAGAATTTTCCAGAAAAAAATCCAATTTGAAGTTTTAAGCATCAGAAGTACTCATTTTATGCATCTTGAAACTTCAGAAGGTGAAAAGTATTTGTGTTTTAGTTGAGATGTAGAAAACCTAGGTTCAATTCTCCTCCACAGTCAGTGCCACTAGCACTGGACTAGACATTCAGTGTCTCTTCCTTTGGTCTACTGCATTTTTATTGACTGGTACAAAGTAGGACAGCTCAAACAGGAGAGACTGAGAAAAATCTACCCCACAACAGCCAGTAATCTGGTTGGCTATGGCATTCACTTTGAATGGGGATAAAACAGCAGGAAAAGGTAAGAAAACCTTGATCCCTCACCTTCCAGGTGAGTGTCCTATGAGGGTATTAGCTGTAATGGGTTCTTGAATCAGAACCCATTACACGCTCTTATTTTTCACAAAGTCTTTTTTCTCACGCTCTTATTTTTCACAAAGTCTTCAAAAGGTTTCCAATTCACCCTCATATGAAACAAGAATCATTTTGAAGTCTCTGAAATACTTGTCAGACAGTACAGCTGTCATCTCCCTCAACCATTCGAATTGGCTGTGCTGAGCTTGTGCTTGAAGTAACTGAGTTGAAGCGGCAAAAATTGCTTTACCTTACACCTCCTCAAACTTTGGGACTGGCCAGTAACTCAAGTGGTTCCCAGGACAAGTTAGAATGTTTCAGTGGTGCTTTAATTGACCCCAGCCCAAACAGTTTCCTAAGTACCATATCACAGGCCCTCTGACTGACAGATTTCCATCTCCTACTAACTTTACCCCTCCACCAGAGGCAGGGGATTAAAATAGCATAAAACCATCTGTACCAATTTTGACATAGTAGAGCATTCTACACTAGAGGAATCCATAACTCCTCCATTTTGACTTCTTTAAAGTCTCTTTGAATCATTTCAGCAACACAAAGGGAACTTAGCTGGAGTTGTAAATCTGCCCCAGAGATTTGACTGGGAGTCTATAGGGAAGGAGGGTAAAGAATCAGTTTTATGGGCAACCTGGTAGAGAGATTTCATTTATTAGTAGAACTTGTTGCAATTTTTCCATAAAAATAATTTAAAATAATTAATAATGCCACTGTTGGATAAATTACTCATATTTTGGCAAAATTTCATTTTCTTTATATTGACACTGTGAAAATCCAATTTGTTCATTCCCTAATTTTTTTCCTCCTTTACACAGAAAAAAAATCAAAAAATGTGGATTTTCCCTACCAAAACAAAACAAATCTTTAAAAGATTTTAATTGATAAAATTGTAAAGCTTTAAGCTACATGCAAAATCATTAGGGAAATTTTGTAAGCTGCTTTAAGTAGCTCATCTTGTCAGGTGCACTGAAGAAGTGGCTTGGATCAGCTGATGCACTGGGTCATCTTGCTGGTCAGCAGAGAACACAAGGGTAGAAAACTGATTGGTGAGTCTTCATTTGGGTAGCAAAATCAAAGACTGGGATTAGAGAATCAATTGCTCAGAGAAATGATGAGTCAAGGAGACAAATTATTCCTGGGGCTTAATGGAATAAAGAACAGATGGGGATAAGAAATGGATGGATTGGTGAGGTTTGATTGTGCAGGAGGATGGAATGATGGATATGGAATACAGGAGAGAAATGCAAAGAAGCAGCAAAGAGATATGAAAGTCCCAGCTATGGGCAAGGGCTTCTGAAAAGTTTAGGAGTAGCAAAAACAAAATGTGTTCACTATCAGAAAGAACAGTCGGACAGAAAGGGGCAGTGAATTAAAAAAACATGGATTAGAAAGGAAGATAGGAGACTGAAAAATAAAGAACGTGTGGGTGGGATGTGGTAAGTGACCGGTAGAGAGGTGGCAAGCAGGCATGAGTGAGATTGAAGACACAGATGAACAGACAGTTAAAAAAAGGAGGGGTTTAGAAGGGGAATACAACTAGAATTTGGATCCCAGAAGTTCTGATGCATATTTGCAGACATGTTATTTTTTACTGGAAAATTATTCTGTAATTTCACATAAAAAGCAAGCAGGCCCCTTCTTTCTTTTCTGCTTTTTGCTTAGAATAAAATGCAGGGTTTTACCTGATACTTTCACAAAATGCTAGGGAATAACCCAGCTCCCTTCAGACTTGATATTAACCTGCACTGCTCCCTCCTGTCTTTGATTACATTATCTATGGGTCTAACTTGGTCTTTTGGCCACTACACCCAACCCCAGAGTAAACCTATGTCAGGCCCACTTCTGGTTAAATGCATGCATACGGGGTGATCAACCAAAACATTACTCAGACTCAACGACAAGACTTAGTAACTGGAGACATATATTCAATTCTGAGTGTCAAAATGTACCTAATATATTGTCCAACACTACACAATGACCAACATTTTAAAGAGCTGTACAGATGGAGCCCAAATCTTATATAGATTCCATTTATTTCTGACTTTGCTTACCTCGAAAGGTAGCGTTATTGGTGGTGGCGGCTTTTTCAGTTCTTCACATTTTCTCTTTTTACATATCCGGTGACTAGTTTTACGTTTCCTGCAACAGCTGCATTCTTCACAATTGGTTTTCCGCAGGCAGGGTTCACACACCCCACAACGTCTTCGTTTCTTCTTTTCTAGCATAGGAAGCAAAGATGAATATGACAGTTGGTGACCATAAGCTGGGCTAATAAAGGAGGATGGATCTGAGGCCTCAGCTGGTCTGATAATGTCACTCCTGTTGTCCTGAACCAAGTTCAAGTTTATTCCAATATTTCCTGATTGTGATGAAGAAACTTTGTGTTGCAGCTCTAAATCAGCTGGTATATCTATATGTATGTCTTTGTCAGAGGGAAGAGTGGAGTTTCCTGTGCCGGAGGACAACTGTGAAATACAGCCTTTAGGGGATTGTCCAGAACTTCCATTGAAGGCTTGAATGGTTGTAGGGATTAAATCTGCTGCACTTTCTTCTGTGTTTGATGATGAAATAGGAATATAACCAAAATCCAAAACTAATTTTTTTTCATTGATACATTCAATGGATTGTTCAACATCCTCCATTACTTGATTATTTAAAGAGGTATTTGAAAATGAATCACAAACTGTCACATTTTTTGTGTCAGATTCCAAATCATCTTTTTTACAGCTCAAGCCAAAATCTGAGCCAGGTTCAACATCCTCTGTTATGTGATTATTTAAAGAGGTATTTGAAAATGAATCACAAACTGCCGCATTTTTTGTGTCAGATTCCAAATAATTTTTTTTATAGCTCAGGCCAAAATTTGAATCTGGTTCTTTGCTGGTAGGCACCAAATCCACATCTGATTTTATCTGGGATTTAATAAATAAGCTTGAATCTTCTGAATGTGCAATTGAATTTGATTCAGTAGTACCTACAGAGTTAGAAGTTGGATAAGGTTCTTTATTTCCAGGCTCCAAATCCACCTTTAAATGTGATTTTGCAAAACAGCCTGGGTCTTCTAAATTTTCTTTTGAGTTTAATTCAGAGGTAATTATAGATACAGAATTTGAACTGTGTTCTTCAATAGGCACTAAATCCAAGTCTGTTTTCATGTGGGATTCAACAAATGTGGCTGAATTTTCTAAACATCCTTCTGAATTTGATGCAGATGAAACAACAGAATCACAATTTGAATCACATTCTTGACCAGCAGGCACCAAATCGAAGATAGTCTTTAAAGAAGATTCCGTAAGTGAGCATGAATCTCTTAAATGTACCTCTGAGTTTGATTCAGGGGTAATTACAGAGTCAGAATGAGAAGATGGAAGAACAGACACAGAATTTTGAACAAAAGGTTCCTGTAAACTACCTGTGTTGGGTTCGTTTGATGTCTGCTTATGGGGTAGGTCTTCACTTTCATATTCCCCCTCTAACACTTTTGAATATTGACTAATTATTGGACTGTCTGAAGTAGAGACATTTGTTTCAGGCTTTACAATCTTTCTGTCTTGACTATCACATTTAACAGAGGGATCTTCATTGACAACACACAGAGCATTCTCCCCTTCGAGAGGAGTTAATTCTTTTTGTGCTAAATCTGGTTTCAACACTGTTTCACTTGCTTCAGTAGTGTTTTTTTCTTCCAATTCAGCTAAGGTTCCTTCTTTCCTTGTTTCTAATCTTTTTGGTGCTGTAACTGTCTTGTTTTTAGTGATTGCTGAAGCTTGGGACAAACTGTGTGAGAATGATCGGCTACGCAGAGACATTGTAAAGCCATTGCAATTTAAAGAATCCTGGTTTTGAAGGAGATTATTATCAGTTTTCTCCAAATTTACCCAAGATGTTTCAGATAACGCTCTAGTTACAGTACTCCTGAGAAATCTACCTGATGAGTTTAAAGTTGGTTTACTTTCTTGTTGCTTTTTCTTCACATCATTTTCTTGCACTTTCTTGCATTTTTCAGAATTCCTGGCCTTTGTAGAAGTCTTCCTTGTGGAAGTTGCTTTCTTTCTTACTTGGCTAGATTTCTTTTTGCCTTGGCTAGTTCTCTTTTTGCACAACTCTTCCTTTTTGACTGATCTGGAAGGTCTGGCATGGTGAGCCATATTTACTGAGATGTGGAAGAGATGTAAAAGGAGTGGTGAAAAAGATCATGGAACCTTGGAAGATTTTTTTTCAATTCAACAGAAAATTACTTATTCTCATTGCTGGTCTCTGTAACAGCACAAATATAACTCTGAAACAAAAAAAAAAGATTATTTTATTTTTATTAACCACAGAAATATATGTATCTTAAATCTATTTAATAAAAATGCACCAAGGCAAAAGTAGAAATACTTGAGTATTATCAAACATTAGTCTTATTAATATAGGAGTCTTGAAATATGAGTATGCTTTATAGTCTGTTCAAAACGGACTTCAATGTTTGTAACTCAGAATAAAATGTGGCCAAACCTTAAAAGACCATGGCAATGGCATAATATTCTCAATTAGTGACTTTTTCCACAAATACTTTACAGAAAAGTGTGAATCAACTTAAATATACTTCAGATTAATTACAACCCCTCCTCCCCAAGTTCATAAGGGGCAAGAATATGGTGTGGTTATATGGGAATGCATAGAGAAGTAATGCTCAGGTTTTTAGCCCCGTGCAGGCTGCGAGTAGCTGCAGCAGGGAGCACCAGCCACGGGGCAGGGGAGGAGCCACTTTTCCTCCCTACTCAGAACCTGGTAGTCCCCTGCCCTTCCCCACACCCTCCCCTTAGCTGAGTTTCCTGCACCGGTGCAGCCAGGGAGCCACATGGTCCCAGGCCAGAAGCCCCTGCTGGGGCTTCTGGCTGGGGGGGCGGGGCAGCTGGGCCCTGCTGTGGGAGCCCGCCAGGCTTCCCCTGGGTCCTACTGCCCTTGGTGCCTGTCATCTTTGACAGGAACCAAAGACAGATACATTTTAATTTTCTACATTTTTTAATGGGCCCTGTGGGCCAGATAGAATGGCCTTGCGGGCTGGATCTGGCCCACAGGCCGTATTTTGCCCACCCCTGCTTTGCACCACACTTAGCTGGCCTCTTCAGGCCAAGCTCAGGCCTGGGGCTCCATGCTGCCCATATCTAGCCCTACGTGCTGGGATCGGGCTCCACACTACTCTACATACCTGATCCAGTGTACAAGATCATGCTGTTCAGCCTGCACAGCTTCCCATAGGTCTGGAAATTTGGCAGCAGGGGTGCAGTGCCACTGCTCCCATGCCAGTAAATTTTTGGACCCATGGTAAGCCCCACATGCTGAATGACACAGCACTGAGGGCTGAACACCCCTGGCATAGAAGATTAAGATCCATCCCAATGACTATATAGAAGCTATTTTGATTGTGACTTAGGAACTGAAACAAAGACAAGATCTGTATACCTGATATACACACATACCCCCATGAACAAAGGACTAGGAAGAGTCACAGCTTCACCACCTACATGCTGGCCAACATGGCTTCAGGTACAAGGTAAGAGAAGTAAGTTGTTCCTTTACAGGCAATGAATGCAAAACAGTAAACTCCAGAGTTTATTGCTCCAGGAGTGCCATTTGAATGTGCACTCAGGACCACAGCACATTAAGCCAGGTCAGAGCAGCCCTGGATGGCAGGGGCACTGGGGTTCAGCCTGCCAGCCCAGGGTTTCTCCCTGCCCAGGGATTAGCCAGCAGGCAACCCTGGTACTGAAACAGCCTTGTGCCCCAGCCAAAGCAGCATCTACATATGCATTGCTGCAGAGTAAAAAACTGCACAGCAGGATAATACTTGTATTTATAAGTATCATCCTGCTTCAGAGTTAATTAGTTTACTCCAGCCTAATTCCAGTGCACATCTACTTGTGCAATGTTTACTACGGAGCTAATTAATCTACTCCACGGTAAATGTCTTGTGTAGATACGCCCTATGAGGCGTACCTTAAGTTATTCCTCTAAGCAGAAAAAGGACGGGGGGATGAATCATGACTCCAAGTCACAATTTCTCGGCAAGGTAGCATAACAGCATACTACACCATATCCAGAGTCAAGCCTGAAAGCTTCATATAGCCATGCCAGGTAAATGCATTACATAGCCAGAGCTCGCTGCTCCGAAGCAATGGTTATTCAAATATAAACTTTATTCTTACATCATTCCCACCTCATTAGTACAAGGGAAGTTTTTTTGTAATAAATGCAAGTATAATGTTCAGAGAACAAGATTAAAATAATGTGACAAGGACCCAATATAAATCTATGGTTTTTTTACAATGGAAAAATACATCCTTGTGATTTTTCAGGCACTTTTATCTTGAGCAGGGGTTTACTGTAGAAATTACAATATGTAGATTTGCATACATTTTAGAATGTGGATGATTTTTTCTCATTTATTAAAAAAAACCTACAAATGTACAATAGCTGTGCTATAGTTCTAGGTCACAGAGGAAGTCCTATAACTTTGGTCAAGTGTATCTGCTATCCCAAGGTTTTCAGGTACTTTCTGACACTTTAGATAAAGGGTTCCCAAATTGTGGTCTATGTACTGCTGTGATCTGCATGCCTACTGTTCCATCAATTCACTTCATAACTTTTTAAAGGTATTATATAAACCAATTAACCTAGGGAGCTGAGGCTTCACCAAGTCTATAGATTGTAATCTGGGAGAAAGATTGCTGTGAGCACCAGGGATCCTGGCTTTCTCAGATAAACAACAATTAAAGATTCTCTGATAAAAAAAGCAAAATCTGCAATTAAAATTAAACACTACTAATACACACTCACACACACACTCATACATATATCAATTGAACATGATGTTTTATTGATATATTTACAATTTTAAAGGAATTTGGAAGCCTACCAGTACCTCAATCACTACAATAAACTAAATTATAAATAACTATAAATTTTGGTATTTGATTTTGGGTTTTTTATTATGGAAAATCAGAGCTCCCCCTGCCCCCTTAGCTCACAGAACGCAGGTCCAGGCCCCTCACTCCCAAGGCACATCCCCCAGCCCTGCCGGCGCCCCTCACTCCCCTCCCACAGCCCCCCAGCCCTGCCAGTGCTTTTCACTCTCCCCCACAGCCCCCTGCCCAACACTGCCAGTGCCCTTCACTGCCCCCCCACGGTCCTCTGGTCTTCCTGGTTCACCTCACTTCCCACCCAGCTCTCCCAGCCCTGCTGGTGCCCCTCAACCTCCCCACCCACAGCCCACTGCCCCCCAGCTACAGGGCCAGGGACCTGAATTTGCATCCCTTGGTCCCCCGCAGCAGTGCCTGAGCTCCAGCTGCCACCCATGGCAAGTGGCGGCTGAAGTATAGCCGGAGTTTGGCTCCCCCTCCGCATGGAGCTGTGGGGGGGCAGCGGGCGGCGCTTCCCACTGTAGGCTCAGGCAGGGCAAGATAGTGCCTGGCTTTCTGCTGCTGTGAGCACTCCCAGTGGGCAGGGAAACTGATGTCCTTCCCCCAGTGACGCTTCCCCTGCCTGCCCCACAGCAGTGAGGGGCACAGCCCTACACCACTGCCCCCACTACTGCTGGGTGGGCAGGGGATGCTTTGCCAGCACAATGAAGGTTCCTGCAGCACCAATGAGCTTCCCTGCACCGCCCAGCTCTGCCCTGCTGTACCGGGTCCCACCTGCTGGGCTACAGAGGCCCCATGGGAGGGCAGTAGGGCGGGGAGCCCAAGCCCACAGAGGGCAGCCCGCACCTGCCTCCACCCCAAGCACAGATCTCCCCGCCCCTGGGGAGTGCACAGAGCAGTGGGGAGCCAGCTCCACCCTTCCACCCCACAGACAAGCTGCCCACAGCCCCATCCTGCTCCTTGCCAGGGATCTGCAGCTGCACATTCCAGCCCCAACCCTAAGCCCCACACACCACTCAGCTGAGCAGCACACCAGCTTGAGCCCCAGCCCTGCCCATCTCCCTCTCTCTCCCCATATCGAGGCCTCAATCCTCCTTCCCCCACCCAATTTACTTATGGGAGCTGCTCTCCAGGCTGCCTGGCAGCCATGTGCATATACATATGGACATGGGTCGGACTAGATGATCTGCTCAGGTCCCTTCCGACCCTAGAAACTATGAAACTATGAAACATACACGTGATGCCTGCCTGATGGCCCTCCTCCCACTTCCCCAGCCCCTTGCAGGTTGGAACACTGCTAGCCTACAGAGAGCCACATGGCCCATGGGCCAGATCCAGCCTGCTGAACTATTTTATCCAGCTCACTAGTAGGCTACCAAGAAATTGGGGGTGGGGTTAGTGGTGTGTGACCTGCCACAGAATTTGAGGTCCCTGTGCTTTGATGGACATGGCCATTGGTGACAGGGTAAGCAAGGGGTACACAGATACAGCCATACAGCCCTTGCTTGTCCCACTTCCACCCAGATGCTTCCAGACCTGCACCACTGTCACACCAAGACCTGCGCTACCACCCCTGGACCTGTGCTTCTTCCCCCACCCCTAGACCCGCTGAACTCCTGCTGGCTCTGCAAATCCAGCCTGGGAGGAGTCCTGCAGTCCAGATATAGGTTGTGGCCCAAGGTGAGTTTGATGCCCCTGGCATAGTTCATGCATGTTGCAATGCTCAAGTCTACTGGTAGATCTAGTCTTAATTTCTTTAGAAATACGCTGTTTCTTACTATGCATTTGTACACTGCAGCAAGGCTATAGTACTACGGTTCCTGGAGTGTTGCTAAGGCCAACTGAAGAAAAGGCCTAGCCTTAAAAAATTCTACACACAGTATGGAAATTACAAGTTAAGATTAAATCAGCAACTCTTGACACTGAGCTTAATACTCAGTTCATAGTACTCCAAGCAAAAATATTCTCAGCGGGCAGAAACCAAACATGCCTCTGTAACAGAACTTTGCAGTAATTTTGAAAGTCTAGATAAATATTGTATTTTCATCACACATCTCTCTTCAGGAATTATACACAACAACTTTTTAATAACATACTTGTGTGTGTGCGTGTGTGTGCGTGCATGTGCACACATGCTAAAATGCCTGTGTTTTCAAACTATCTTATGCAGTCTACCAAAAACAAAGATGTTAGCAATTCAAGAATACCTTAATATAATCTCATCTAAATCTTGTTTTTGCTCCTACTTATCAAATGTCACCACAGTACACCTAAATAACAAGAAT